AGATACTAAAAACATGTTCAGTGCTGCATGAAAAAAAGGATCCTGAAAGAAATACATACTGTATATTGCTTTATATAACCCCGCTTCCCTTTCTGAACTTCCCTAGTTCTGTTGCATAATTTTCAGTTTTTCTATAGGATGCAGTAGATTTCATGGCCCATCTTTCTTCAGACCTTCCTTTTATATTTGGGGACTATAGCTATGGCATAAGACAGGGTAAGCATGGTTCCGCTGCTAGTATTTGACCTTAATCTTCAGACTTTAATTTTATTTGCTGTTTTTCTTTTACTGCAAAGCTTATACAAGTAAGGCTGTGTACACTGTGAATACATAAAAGCAGAATCTACTGTTCTGCAACACAAATTGCCCCCAAATACAGCTTTAGAACCTTGAAGTACATTTCTATAAATGAAGGGAAGAAAGAATCAATAAACAATATTAACATGTTTATTAAATAATGATGCGCTAATGTATCTTACAAAAATCATGAGTATATGGTTTTCTCACCCACAACAAATGACTGTTGCACAGATACCAGATAGACAGTTGTTTGTAATTTGCTCTACCAGTGTCAGCTGCATAGCAGGTCTCAATTTAGGACAATATTAGTCCTTCTGACAGGCTCACACACTCCCATGATGCCCTAAAAATTCCCTACAGTTTCATGAAATAAAAGAATGAATGTTCTAATTGCTAGAGGCAATACCAGCAAATGGAGTAAACTGCTGCAGCAAAAACTTCCCCTAAACACATCCTATTTAGCACCCAGTAATTCCACTGAAACACACCTGTTTCAGAACTAGAACATGGAAGCAAAATGTTACTTTTAATGCACAGGTATGAAGGAATTAATTGTTCAGTTGAAGTTAACGAAAAACTTCAAACTCAATGGAATACTATCACACAAAAGTTATTAATGACCAGAGCACTACGATTCAGGCAACAGTTTCACAAAAGGTGAAACATGAACTTTAATGAGCAGACATCATTACGATTCATGCCCTTCTTTCCTGTTAACAATCAGTGATATTCTGAAGAAGTCCTGAGTCACATCCTGGAGCTCTTACTACATGGTAAAATACTGGAATCTGCATTTCTGTACTAACTGTCCAGCTAACTAAACTCACATGATCATAGGTATGTGCATGGCTGTGTAACTGTAGGAATTAACTTGTTAAAGGTGATAGAAAATGCAGAAATAAAAGCCTGAAGGACTCTCATGTATGTATGAGAATGCCATGGCATGTATGACTAATAAAGGCAGTGCATTAAATAACAAAGTGGGGTATTAAATACCCGCTGGCATCACTAACACAGCAGGGTAGGAACTTGAAGGAAAATTATATTTAATTATTTGAAGTGTTATAAAACACAGCCACAGAAGGGGAACTAAACAGATATCTTCAGTGCTTGTGTAGCAACTAAAAAGTCCTTGGCTGGAGGTACACATGACATAATACTTCCACTTCATGGGGCCAGAGAAAAATGAAGTTTTTCAGCAAGGCTCTGGGACACTTTCCAGTACTAAACACTTCCTACTTTTTCTTCACAAACAGAAATACCTTAGTGGCATATTGGGGAAAAATGGTCACAAAATCTCCATAAATTCTAGTTGCAACCCAAATTCTGCAAGTTGTCACGTAACTGTGCAATGTTACTTACGACAACTGTCTCTCTGACAACAGTAAGACTGTTGCATGTCCTTTCTCCAGGCTTTAAAAATCATACCATTGACTGACAACCTGTTTGCATTTGGGTTAAGGTCTTGACACCCTGTACAGTATATATAGAATGACCTCATCTCACGCAGCTATCACTTAACGCAATCCACAGTGTGGTATTGGTTTACATCTGTCTCACACTGTGAAGACTATCTTAAAGGGAAGTGGCTTAGTGGTAAGTAGGTGGCTAAGTCACCCTGTCATGTATACAGGAAGTGAATAATCTCTATTTACCTTATGTACTCTTGACTTTACCACAGAGAAGTCTAGAAATCGGTTTTAAAAACAACAAGAACACCCAACCTTTGGAGCAACCAAAGGCAAGGGAAGAGAATGGAATGTATTTGCTGAGCCTCAAAGAGGTTCAAATCAACTCCCCTGATGCAGGAAATTTTCTTTCTTAGAATCTACTCTCACCTCTTCTGGTAAACACACATCTCATATATTCTTCCAGGGTACTAGCAGTGGGTGTAAAAACATCAAAAGTGTAGCTAACAATGACAAAAGCATGTCAAAAGATGACAGAAAGTTTAAGTATAGAAACATACAGTATCTATTAGAAACCAGAATCAGAATTTAGAAACAATAAAAGAAACAGAAAATACAGAGGAAGATATTTAGGAAGACAATGTGTAATAACACTGAGGGGTGAAAAAGCAGCAATACAGGGAACAGACTGAAAATACGACTACTACAAAAACACAGGGGAAAGCTACTGAGAAGATGAGAGGCTCATGCAAGGCATGAATGAAGAATATGTGTGACATATTGACACATAAGCATATGTGTCAATATTTTTAAGCATATAAGAGATCTGGTGGACAACAAAACCATTTTGGTTTATACATCAGGTCAGAAGAAATCACTAGGACTCAACAAGTCAATGGGCACCGAGTGCTTACTTCTGTCTTACTGCCTTGTGAATCCCAGTAGTAAGTTTTAAGCATTCTGTTTTCTTGTTTTGTGACAGGGACTTAAAGCTAGCAAATTCTTTTTGGCTAAACACACACACTGTATTTTCGAAACAATGTTTCTTTGGTTTCTGCTAATTGCTTTTACTGGACTTACATACCTGAAAAAACTCTACTTGCAAGCATAAATACATGACAGGCTCTTCTAAAAACTCATATACAATGATTCACAATTCTAATTTAAAACAGATTTTGCAGAAATCCATAGTATTAATTCTAATAGATTACAGTTAAAATCACCAAATCTACAAAAATTCATGTTAAATTGCTGAACATGTTTAGCTTGAAAAATAACCAATCAAATAGTACATTTACCTTGTGCAAGGCAATGTACTAGCAATTTACTTCTATAGCTACTTAATGAATTATTCCCTACCATTTTTAATACTACCCAAAAGATCCACTATGGTGAACAATTTCATTAGAACTAGGTCAAAACTATGGTATTCAGCACAATCTGATCTGAAGTAGCATCAGACGATTATTTCCTACTTTGGAGACCAAGTAATTCTATTTTTATCTTTTAAGGCAAGCACACAAAATACCTACATTTATTTCAACTTTAAAAACAGTATCACATCTGTTGTGGAAATAAAGTTAGGACCTACAAATACAAGAAATTCAAAGTATAAGACAAGCTCTGCTTCACCTGCTACTTAACGTTTGCTGCTCATTTCAGTATGGAAACAATATGAAAGTATGTTGTCAGTAACTTGGCTCTGAAATTTTATTTTCACCATTTATGCATCCTGAATTTTTTCACTTTATGTAATATTCTATTTGTTTTCTTACCACTAAAACCCAAAACACAGTATGGCATCTTTGGGGACAGTGAGAATCCAAACAATAAATGAGAGATGGCACTGGTTTTCCACCACTCTGCTCCAAATTATGGACACACAAATATAAAAGTGGTATACTGGGGAGGTAACTAGCTCCACAGGACAACAAACTGCATTGGACAACAGGAACCCTATGCATGGGGCAAATATACCAGGAGAAGAACATGGTGTAGTGAAAACATTGGAGCAAATCTAGAGACCTATGTCATGCATCTGTAGCTCTTCAGCTGCATAAATTGCATAAGCAAGATACTATTAAGTTTGTCTTGACTAAATCACATATAAAGTCTTGTACTAGGCAAGAATCCTCAGACAGCTGGGCAGATAAATGTCATCCCAGACCTCTCATGTGTACAACCCTGTTCCAATGAGCTTAATGGGAACTTCACGGTACCTTTCTGTTCTTCTGTGCTTTCCTCAATAAGAGGCTTTCATTCATGTACACCTGACAAATGTGGAGTGTAATGACATCATCAAAATAATTTTCATAGCTAATACAAAAATTCATGTGGGAACCATGGAGGATTTTGCCACAGCTTTTAATAACTAACTATGCTGTATTTTTAATGGTCAACACCAAAAAGTCATCACCTCTTACCATTATCCATTTCTTTGGCAACAGATAAGAAATTTTGTCTAAACTATATGCTACAAAACTCAAGAGTAACTGGATTTCATGGAGTCAACCTTCAGGCTGCCCTCAGATTCCAATGTTAAATTTTACACTGTTATTTTATCAGATTCCTGCCCCAAGAAACTAAAGGCATAACAATTCAGAGATAGTTTAGTCACATATGCTTTTTTATTATTGTTGATCTATAACAAACAGAGTTTAACTTAAAGCGCTTTTCCTGTTGTCTTACTGGCAGCCATGTTCTTGAAAGTTTAGGCTTTCTTTCCATAAAAGAAAGGCAGTTCAGAAAACACAAATACTTGCTTAGTACTATTTACCTCACCACCAGGACTGCAAAAGCAATCTGTGAGGAAAAGGGGAAAACCTGGGAAAACAGGAGTTCTGGGGCATTATAGTTTTTACAAATTGTATGGAGGTCTACCTTCATTGCACTTCCCAGTATTCACTACTGTCATACTACATGAAAGTATTTTTGTCCAGTTTGCATTTCTGAGTGTATGTCGGAGCAGAGTAAGGGCTTGAGCTGCTGTAACAAAAGAAAATAAAACCAGCAGTGATTAACTATGCCGAGGCAGAATCTTACTTTAATAATTCAAATGATCACAAACTGTCATTCTGTGAAACAAACACAGATATAATCCTAAACGAGATGTACTCCGCTCCCTAAAGTATCCTCCAAATTCAATTTACTAAGTGTATATTCAGGTATGTTTGTACTGCATATGCATACAAACATGCATACAGACTTACAGTATAAGAAGCTAAAAACCGAACATTACTTTGTTAGAAAGAGAAAATGATGTACAGTTGTTTGTAGCCACTGTGTACTTACTATTTAGTTGAATCTGATAATTGATACTCCCGTCGTCTATCGTAACACTCCTGAATTCCAGGGTCATTCCATAAGCTTCTTATTGCATCTACATATGGGTTCTCAAAAGTTGACACCTTCTCTACATCGACTTCTCGAACTAACTGTGCATGAGCCTAATTAAAAACAAACAAAACAGTGCAATTTACTTCATTTTCTATGTTTGCAGATAGCTCATATACACTGGATATGATTAACAGGAATAATTTTTCATATTGGTCACATCACCAACATGTATATACAGTTTGAAAAATCAAACAACATGAAGAAGGTTGTTAAGACAGGAAAAGAAGACAACCATTATAGGGAATTCCAGCATTGAGGAAGAACAGAAATAAATGTCAATTTCTTATGGAAAGTATATAATCTCAACATGGATCAGCATATTATTTACCTTTCATGATAAAAGACACTGTTAAACAGAATACCCACCATTCATTCTACTAACTGAACCACTCATTAGCAACTGAACCCAGGACACTTGCACAACATAACGATAGGAAAGACAGTAAAACCCCAAAGTATGCAAAGATGGTTATTTTACCAAAATCTGCACTCATGGGAATGAACTTAGTGATGGTGTAGGAAGGAAACAGTACTGTTGATTTGTTGGAGAAAACCTTGAAGCAAATGGTGAACGAATAAGAATATGTAAGAGTACTGAGTAAATTATGAACGAGTGATGATACGGTATGTTCAAACACAGACAAATAGTGATAAATATGACATAAAGACAGAAAGTGAATTAATAAACGTACATATGGTCTTTTATTTAAGACTATGCTTATTCCGAAGCATTCCCATTAAATTTTATATTTAATTAAGAGAATTTTAAAGAAAGCTTTCATTTTTAATTTTTCAGGTACAATCTTAAAGCACGTAAAACATGCTTTTTAAATGATGACCAGTTAACCAACCTGACAGGTTTAGACTCTGATGGTACCTGAGAGAATGGAAAGGAGGCAATTTGCCTTTCAGAGAAGCTCTTTATGTTACCACAAACGTAACAGTAGTTACTACTGAAAAAGAAAAGCAAAATTATTAGAAATTGTCTCTAATTTCAATTTGTACTATAAATTATGGAGATTCTTAAACAGTAATGTCTAAAATTGGGAGTTGCTAATAAAAAATAATCCCTAATAAATCTATCACCCTCCTAAATACTTAAAATTTAGTTAAACCCTATGGAGTCAGAACTACCAAAGAAATATTGCAGAATGTTTCTGATTTGTCCTGGAAGTATTACGTACACATTTCAGTAACACACACAGGAATGTATGTAACTGTGTAGAGACGCATGCACATGTGTGCACACACTCACACACGACAACAGATGAAGACCCGGTCAAGCAAAAATCTGAGGGATTCAACTCTCATATCTAGTCTACGTTTGAGATGAGGACACAAACTTCCTTCCACTTAAAATTAGGTATACTGAAAGGAGTGTTCTTGTTATTTTTTAATAAATTTGTCCTCTGTTTACACACATACAATCCCTACTCCCCTTTTTAGACAGCCCAGGAGAATAAGGCTACTTCTCATTACTTAACAAAATATTATACTGGCACCTGTTGTTTACTCAAGAGGAAATAAAATCTTCCAAGTTCAACGTATGTTCTCTGTTATCAGAACCCAAATCTCCAAAGTTCTAACAAAGGTTATTTTCTTACGGATGATACCCACACATCCCCAAAAATGTCTGGACAAATCACAGAGGGTTCCTACATTCTCAAAGCAAGTAACAAGAAATGGTACTCTACTAAAACACAAGCCAATGTTCTTGTGAAACTGCGTAGTTTTTTTATCAAGCTCAATTCTGTATTCTATTGCACTTGTGTACATTTGAAAGAATGGTGCCTTGAATATTTTCCCACAACTTATGCCAAACTGGTAAAAGAACATATGCAGATACTATTTTTTTTGTTGTACTTGAGCTCTAAAATTAGGGCCAACTGATACCAAAATGCTGACAGAGCTGAACGACTAACTTACTATTCAAAAGCTTTCATTTGAAATGTGTCGTAACTGAAGTATTCCTCCAACAGGTCTGTAAACATTCTCTAACAGGTGCTCCAGTATTCCACATTGGTAGAAGAGAGAATCTTAAAAGGTAACCACTTCATTCAGTTATCTATCCAGACTGACTACTATAAAGTTGTCCAAGATCTGGCATTGTTTTACTTATCAGTTCTGTATTTTCTGCCATACAACTAATATGACTTTGCACTACAAGACATAACTTACCAAATAAACTATGACATATGCCAAGAAGTTAAATCCAGCAAAACAATTGATTCAACTTATTAAAAAGAAACAGCATTTCCTCAGTGGACACTGCTTCTGCTTCCCTGGGCTTGCTTGAGCAGACTCATGACAGCTTGTACCCTACTGATACACAGCTCTTCACATCAGTGCTGTGTTTCTTAAAAAGGTAATGTGCCTCCACATAGATTTCAAATCTTTATTAATCCTCAGCCATGCTTTCTTGTTCCCAGAGGTACTATACTTCCCCGTAGACAACAGTTTTTCCTTCTTTGAGAGCCTTTGTCAGGCAACATCTTTTGCTGGCTTCTGACGTCCGGTGGTGGAGACAGAGATGAAAATACAGGGTCTCACCTATTGGCTTAATTTTTCTCTCATTTGCTCTGGTACAAGTCAAAAGTAATTCTAGTGAAACCCTGTGAGATGGAGAAGCATAAATCTAATGCGGAAGAAGAATCAATCATGCATCATGTGTGGTGTCACCACTGCTAATTAGTGGATTTAGTTTCCTTCCACTAATGTAAGAGCAAATTTGGAGCATAACTTTTGATCTTAGCACCCAAGCATGACTCAGATCCAAGGACTTATCATTAATGCATTTTATGCAAATATAAATGTTATTTATAGTCATTATTTTTAGTCATTATTTATCCTTTCACTTTACCCTAGAATTGACATTATTTTGGGGGGACAAAAGGAAAAAAGTCAAGCTGTTGCCCCTGAGAAAACTGTACCTTGTTAGAGTTCTCTCTTTTGGGACCTCAGTAATTGTTATGAAAGCATTAAAAAAACCCCCACAAACCAGAATGACAGACAAAACTGAAGGATTCTGTAAATACCACCAAATTCAAACTGGTCAGTAAGTAACAATTAGTTCAGCTGTAGTGTTCCACAAACAAAACCTAGATGGTGTAGTTGACTTCTCAGTCTAATACCTGACATTAGCAGTCAACATTTTCCATGGCCTCCTGGCAATATAAGAATACTTGTAAAAACTTCTGCATTATTTGCTAGCAATCTTATAAAAACTCATTCAATTCTTTTTATCAAATCACATAAATCTTAAATTTAATAGCTTCTTCACCAATTCCCAAAAGTATTTAAAAAGTGATCTCAGAATAAGAAAACTCTGATTTTTGGGAACAGTATTAGCTTCTGAAACCAGGAAATCTGAGCCTGAGGAGATACCAAAATAGCTATCATTTCTCCTCTTTCATCCCCCTCAGAAAACTATTGACAGTGTTAAAAACTAATTCTGAGCTTGAATACCATTATAGTTTTATGCTCATCTTTCTGGCCATACCCTTTTGGCCACAATCCATTAATAAAGTGTATTTTTTTAATCTCTAGGCTTTGTTGTGTCAGTTTTCTACTTATCATCTTCATAATTTTTTGAAAGCTGTCACGCTTCTAAGGGACTAATTGGGACAGCCAATGGATCTGGTCATGTATTATCTCTGTATGTGTTATCACCCATTTGGAGCCTTACAACAGTAGCTACAATCAATGCAGGAAGCATGGAAAAAAGTTCGTATTTTCCCATTCCTTTTGATATAATGTCTGCAATTTTCCCAAATTAGCATTCCAACCTACCACAATAATTTATATGAGGGAGACCAGGCAGAAATACACACTGTATTTCAAAAGAAATTCCTCTGGGATCTTAAATCCACAGAAGTAAGCAATATGCTTGAAACACAGCAGGCAAGGTTGCTTTGTATCAATGGTCTCTGCATACTAGCTGATTTTAAGGTTCCCATTTAAAAAAAACTCTTACATGGGAGGGAAGATCTTCTGTTTTGTAAAAGGATTTCCCAAACCAATCAGAAAATGCCTGTGGCTATAGTGCTTGGCTGTCGGTAACTAAAGGATCAAGTAGAGTGATATTAATTAGGTGCGGAGAGTCTAATTTACATTGATTGCAAAACTGAGAGCAATGGCATGTGCTCAGATCCAAGCAGACCAGGAGCTGAATGGAAGTCATTACAAAGACATCATAATGACTATGGATTTGTCTTTTCCTTTTTCTTTTTTCTTTGGGGGGGAGGGGGCAGGAGGAGATATTTTTGATCATGCATCTTAAAGCAGAAATTATTTCTGTCAGCTCAACAGGAGTCATTAAGTCATTTGCAGATTCTGACCCTAGTGACTTGTAATCTGCAAGTGTGTTTCATACAATACCTTACAGGCATTATAGGCCTGTATAGCAAGATACGCTGCTTTGGGGACTCCTGCAAACCTGTCGATATTTGAAGCAGCTGTAACATTTAAGGAGAGTAGTACTAGTCTATTTCACCGTCTTGAAAAGCAGACAGTTGGGGTATGTGTTCCTTAACATGTCAGAAAGCAGCAACCTCTGACTGATAATCAGTCCAAGGCAGGAAAGTGTTTTTACATAGAAGCCCACAAAAAACAGTTTGTAAGAGGGCTGTAAAGAGGATATTGCTTCCCTTGAGCAACTTTACAGCACAGGATGGGCTAGGGTAAACAAGGAGGAGGTTTCATGGTGTGCTATACCAAAGCACCATATTTACATTAACAAAGTGTGCTATGTCTTGCTGAAACAAGGCTTGGTTCAATGCTAATCATTCTTCAGTTGCTGACAAAGGTTAACAGAGTATCAAACTACCTAAAACAGAATTCGTCACTTTTCCCGGCTTCACCTTCTAAATTTTGGAAAGAGAAAAAAATAGCATAAGCTCTTTGAAAAAGAATTCCACAGACACATAACAGAATGTAAAAAAACAACCTTGTATGAAGAAAACTTTTTCATTACTGGTCATTGTCTCTAAAAAGGCTAGGATACTGGCCCCTAACCCACGGCTTATGGGCAGTACAATGAAATGCTAAGGATTTAAACAAGTTACTTTGTGATTTAAGTTCCAAAGTTAACCCATTCAAAATGCATCTTTAAATGTTAG